TTTCATGGGTATCGTAGCCCCATATTTCTCTTTCGAATGGTGAAAACCGCACCTCTCTATCTATCACCGTTCCGGAGCTATAAGGTCAACACTGACCGGCCATTCTATTTTGAAATGGATAGTAGTATTTTGCGGTATTGTACGATTTTTTTCCAAAAACATCGTCTAAATTCAGTTCATCTATGACATAGTTCTTCCACTAAAATTTCATTCCAATTACTAAAGCTTTCTCGGCTTATATAAACTTCTTAATTTAAAAGATTGAATTGAATTGCTGTTTTCGTAAAAAAAAGCGTGTGAAAAATCAGCTATACATAATCAAAGTGAAAAGATTAATCTATCCCTTTGATAACATAAAATAAAGTTCACAGTAAAGAAAAACAAGGAAAATGTATTTTTATTTAGGCAAAATATGATCAAGACAAGCCGGTACCGGTGCCGGTAGGAAGTTTGTATACCGGTGACCGGTACCGGTGTCGCATTTTTGATACCGGTTACACCTCTGAGCTACACGAACTGACTACAATCAGATATCTATGTATTGCAGCATAAATGTTACTAGTTTTTATGTCATTGAACTCCACTTCTATCAACTCTTATTTTCATACAGAAACATGTGTGAAAAAATCATGAAGACAACGGAAAACTGCGATTCGAGAATAAATAGACTTGTAGTCCCTGTAATAAGGGCGAATCAAATCGTAGGAATTATAAATTTGTATCGATAGACCAGATCTAGAGATTTTGAAATATCTCGTTTTAACAAAAATAGACGATAATTTATTCCGAAACTGTTTAAAATAAACCTCCTTTGAGAATTGATAATGAGAAAAATGTGTAATCCACAATCAGTGACGGTTATGTCCAGAAATGTTGAGCAGCGTGACTCAGTCGGCTGGTGGGCAGAAAACGTACTTCAAACATACGGAGTTCGAATCCGGCAAAGCCGGCCGCGTGATAGTCCTGGACAAGCTATCTAATGCTCATTGTCTCGGTACCTTTGGAAACAGATGCAATGGGTTAACCCGATTGGACTGGAGAGATAAGAGTTAAAGTTTGAAAAAAAAATGTACATGAACACCAATACGAAGAATGCAGTCCCACAACACGTTTACGATCACTCGTTCGGAAGTCGGAACAAACGTTAACAGATCGTCGGGGGGCAAGTATCTCAACACCATTTGCTGCTGCTACAAATCTCCTGATACGGAGCTGTATATGGTCAGTAGGTATAAATTGATCTGATGTTTTACGTTGGTTTAATACATTTTATGTTATTCCATCATCCACGGCAACAATAACAATGTCAGTTTGGTTGGATTTGTATCGATTTGGTCGATGGGCATCATTTGACAATTCTGTGGCTTGGTGGACATTATGTTGGTTAATGTCACCGCTTACATCGTGTATGTGTCCAATTGGCCTCAAGCAGTATACGTGCAAACACTTCGTTGAATTAACCATTTTATTCAACGTGTTTCAGATGACAGACAGAAGAAAATACGTCTGTTTTGAGAGTGAAAAACATGATCTTACTCCTATCATCTATTCTGAAATTGTTTACCTTTAAAACGAATGTATTACTGCTCTCGTTAAAAGTTGTTCTGAAATATTTAGGCGTTCTGTTTTGTCAATGCACGATAGAAGTACAATCCTTTGATAATGGAGAGAAAACGTTTTTTTTTAAGCAACATGGAATGATTTGATGATCTACCTTTCGATATTCATTTTCGGCTGAACTCTCAAGTCTCCGTTGCGTGTATGTCTCTAATGAATAGCTTCTATTACGTTTCTACGAGCCAACATCCGGTACAATTCGAATTGATGGTCGTCCTATTCAAGAGTACAATCTCACATGGTTGAGACAACAAATTGGTGTAGTTAGTCAAGAACCGGTAAATAATATTCTATAATTGTTTCAATTTTTATATGATAAATAAAATGCTTTGAGATCTTATTCGGCACGACCATCTATGAAAATATTCTCTACGGCAGCAATCAGAAGGACAAAATAACGATGAGTGAAATAGAAGAAGCAAGTAGACAAGCGAATGCACATGAGTTTATCATGAAATTACCAAATGTAAGAAACTGACTTTCTCCGTTTTCCTTTATTTTTCTTATTTTATTCATCTAGGAATATAATACAGTGGTCGGTGAACGTGATATACAATTAAGTGGAGGACAAAAACAAAGAAGTACTTGCTTTTTCAAACTAATTTATTTCTTACTTTGATACGAAAAATAAGTGTTTCTCATTCAAATAGTCGCTATTGCTCGAGCACTCATCAGTAGTCCAAAAATATTGCTCTTCGACGAAGCAACAAGTGCATTAGATAATCTTAATGAAAAAATTGTACAAGAAGCTATTGATAGAGCATGTAAAGGTAAAGATATAAAAAAAGCCATTATTTCTTTGTATTGATCAGATGGATCAAATTATTCCGGAAAGGTCGCACGACGATTTTCATTGCTCATCGCTTATCAACCATACGAAATGTTGATAGTATTAATGTTATTAACGAAGGACAAATTATTGCACGAGGTAATCATAATCAGTTAATATTAAACAAACAAGGTCAATACTATCAGATGGTTCACACACAAATGTTAGGTGATGAAGACAATGGGGACGATTTATCAATTGTGAGGGAACCTTACGAGCAAGAAAGTTGTACCAGAAATATTCACCGCCATTTTAGCGAAGAAAGTATTGATGATGATAAAAATGAATCCGGCGAAAGTGTAAGTCATTTCCTCATTAGTTTCTGTTAACAGTGTGGGAAAGTATAATGCTATGGCGGTTTTCAAAGTAGTAAAAAATACAGTATCATTATATTCTGTATTTTAGCGTCTTCGATAGTCATGGTAAAATCCAATATTTCCTTGACTGTAAAGGAACGGGTCTTATCTAGTTAAAATGCCTCTATGTATTTACGCCGCAGGCGAGACAGACAAACAAATTAGTAGCGCACAGGCAGACGCACAAATCATTTTAACTTGATTGAATGAAAATGATATGGAATACATAGCCGACTTTTTACGGGACCGGGATCTAAGATCTGCGGGACGATCCCGGTCCTGCAGGATGTTCCCGGTCCCACGCAGCTTTTAATGGGACCGAGACCAGATTGTTTTGAAACTAGCCTTGTAAACATTATTCTTGACGTGTAAGCGATAAATCATTTATGAACACCTCGCGCCGAGATCAGGTCTAAAGAGCTCACTTTTGTAAATAATTTTACGTGTGACAATGATGTGCCTTATTTCTTTTATTTGTTCCGCTTCCTTGCTCAAAGTTATTTAGTTTCGTATAAAATTTAGAACCAGTAACAACGAAATTGATTCAGTTAATCAAAATTTGACTTCGTGACATTGAAAACGATTAACATTTACTCATCAAGTTTTATCGTAATCCAGCAATATCATCACTGTAACAAATGGAAGAGACAAACGTAAATTATGATGTTTTGATAAATGAGCGGAGCATGCGATAAGTAGCACAAAAGTTAGGAAGAATCTGTATGACTAACATCCTATAAAAGTCCTGTTTATGGCATGTGTTCATGGACGTTTCCTTCCTATCTTTTCGCGGGTAATTTGGGCATAATTCATAAAGATCAGTGGATCTAATTCACACATCTGTTTGTTTGTAGAACGTGAGTAACAATTCCTCTGAAGAAGAGACAGATCTGAAAGAACAGTTACAGAAAGACAAGAAAGCGCGAGATAAACATCAAATAGCGTACGAACGAGCGTTTCTTGATAATGAAACCGGCAAGTTAAAAGAAAATATAGAGGTAATATGTGCACAAAATGGTCGGGGTAGAAAATTGGCACCTTCATTGAAGAAGATTCTTGATTCAGTTCCCAAAGAACAATTAGAACATTTGGCTAAATTTGCTGTTCGAATAGGTGGCAGGTATGAGCATGGCGCCGTTAGAAATCTTATAACTGGATCTGGTATGATTATTGCTGAATGCGTCATAACTGTCACACATCTGTTTAATCCGATTGAATTAGATGAACAGAACGAGATTGTACCTTATTCTCGAATAATATTTACCACAACGACATTAGCTCCGGTCTCTAGGTTTATGTCGGACCATGATGAAGATATATTCGGAGCTGAAATGATTGTGCGTGACTCGAATGGGCTAAAACCATTGGATATTATGTTCACATGATGATGAGTTTGCAATTCTACGAATTTGTCATATTGAAAATGTTAGTCAACAGCTATTCTCCGAAATCCATCAAAATTATCCTCGTCGAATATGGTCTAACGGCCATGCAATGTCGTTGCTACGGATTCCGTCGAATTTTTGGAGCAGTTTTATTTTGCCTTAAATACATTGCAAAACAATTATAATCAATAATTATCCATTCAAAATAAAATTGAGCTTGTAATGGGCTAAATGCACTTGGAATACACTTAGACTATATTAGTGATTTGAATTTGAGCACTAATGTAGTCTAACTGTATTCCAAGTGCATTTAGCCCATTACAAGCTCAATTTTATTTTGAATGGATAATTATTGATTATAATTGTTTTGCAATGTATTTAAGGCAAAATAAAACTGCCCCAAAAAAACGTCTAAGTATCACGAAAGGAAGCACTTTTTTTTTCTTGGCCGTTAGACCAATAACTGGAAAAGAACAAATCCAAATTGATTCTCCATTATTTTTATTGTCATACTGTTCGTTATTAAATAAGAACGAAGACATTAACTTTTATGAAGGTTGCTCGCACAGTACCAAATATACACGTGAAAATTTAATAACAGCAATGCATCCGGAACATTTAAGCGTATCATTGGGTAAATGCTTGACAATTGACGATAATTTTATTCGCTATGATTGTCCGTCACTCAAAGGTGCTAGTGGTGATGTTCTCCTCAATAAAATGGGTCGATTAGTCAGTATACACACGGGAGTTACACCAAGCGATATTTATTACAATAAACAAGGTGAAAAACGACTAGTAGCGATTGCACTCAATCAAGCATTGCCATCATATTCAAATTTATTTAAATCATTAGTCGAAACAAATATTCCAGAGTGGAAATAAATAATTTTTGTTACTGTTCATGAATGTGCGAGTTTCTAGTCACATGCTTTTGGGTTGGTTTGTTACACTTCCTTTAGTTGTGATATTTTGGTACTTTTTGCTTTTGTAAAGAATTTTAGCAGTTTATTAACTGATATTTCTTAGCTTTTGCTTACAGTATCTTGTAGGTAATTCTATATTTTACCCGTAACCTATCTGGGCACTTTATTCTTTCTGTCATCGAACTTTCGCAGAAAAAGATGCTAAATATCAATTGCGTATAGACCAAGTTACTTCTGGATAATGCCTTTGGGGACCGCCGAAAATGATGTGATTTCTAGTGTAATAATTTAAAACCACACTTAGTAGTTTGGTACTCTCAACAGATTGCGAAAAACATATGACTCCTTCGAAATATCAGCAATGGAGCCATCTCGAGCTTCTAGCCCGCCTGTGATATATTTCGATTTTTCCGCAGCACTTTACTCTTATTTGTCTTCTTACTCAACCTTATCTGAGTTTTCTTTTTCTCTTCTAGATACCTGAGATAAAGGATGTTCATAATCAGTATCATAACAATAACTATTAAGTAGCTGTTATTCTTTTTTAAAAAACTATCGTTTGTCGTTCTAACATTCCAGATCACATTTAGTTTATTTGAATATTATACACAACAAACACAACTTAAGATAGTGAAGATGCAGCTTTTCTTAATGTACATATGGCTGATTCAGTCCCGATTCGTCGACACTCACTCTCACACCGCCCCTCCCGCCTTTGAAATTCTTTGATGTATATTCTCTGAAGTATCCGATTTGTCGACGAATCGGGACGATACCATATGGCTCTATTAGAATTGTTAATTAATTCATATAATAATCAAACAATTGACAAAGTATGTTTTTCAAATCAATTTTCTGTTCATTTATCTGAATCTTCTATCTTGATAGTGACGACAATCCGGCATTACATTTTGATGTACATTTTATTTTAATTTCTTACGGAACAACCAGCATTTTCAGATGGTTATACTTCATTGATTGTTGAATCAATGTATCACATTTTGTTAATCAGAAAACAACCGGGCGAAGCGTAAGTTGGCTAATAAAATGTTGCATAATATTTACTGTCTATTTTTTGCAGTATTCGCAGTCCTCTGCCATCCGCTTTTCTCGTCAGTTTTCATTTTTTTTCTCTGATAATCTTTGAGAAAACCTTACAAAGATCAACGAAAGTCGGTAAAAATTAATCAAATCTTATTGCATAAACAGCAAAAAGTTTCCTCATTTCATCCGGCTATCAATAAGAATCTAGTTGTGGCGCTGGTCTTTATACATGCTGTTATTTTTGTTACTTTGCTTGGATAAATGGAAGTGCCAATTGAGATCATTTTTGAGCAGTGAAAATCGTACCAACTCATAGTAATTCAGGTGTAACAGATGGTACAAGAAAATTGATTATTTTGTTATTGCATTATTATCGATCATCGATAGTGGATCGAAATATCTGGATAACAGTAGAGTTGAAAGAAGATAAATAGTTGGAGAAAGCTAAACTTGCTCTTAGTGAATGTACTGGAATAATAACTTCATAAATAAATCCTTTAGCTCAATAATAAGCGTTTCAAAATTTTTAATTAAGTAAGGGGCATATTCTGTTTTACTTTTGAAAAAGTATCAATTTTTAATGGTAATTTAATTTGAAACAGCATTTCGCAGAAAGTTAGAGACAAAGATGAGCCAGAAAATAACTCTTTTTCACATGATTCGGCATCCAAACAGGTAGCTTTGCCGTTGATTTTATATTATAGTTGCCTCCTTTTTGTTCAGAATCAATCTGCAAGAACATGTTTGGTGATCATTCAATTAAATGTTAATACTATTTATGGTATAATATTTAGTATGCAAGCCAACCAATAAGCATGATTACTTATGCTATCATTACACAGTGGGCAACCACGTGGACATTAGGTGAAATTTTAGAAATGCTCTTTTTCAAGATTTGACGACCACCTAATATATTCTGAAATATGGACTATCTAACCGCATAAAAGTTTTTTTCTATAGTACAAATCGTGTACATATGTTGTTTCGTATGTTATTTTATGAGATATATGGTATAAAGAATGATAATAATATATAGGAAATAAGTTGATAATAAATTGATGTGACATTGTCGAATTTGTGCTGTTGATCACGTTTTTAGACGCAGAAAAAATACAGAACATTCTTCCATCATATGAAGGAAAAAGAAATATATAAACTGTAGAATAGGACAAACATTGTATGACGAAATTTCTTTTCTAGATAGAACAGATCTGTATAACGTTTTTGGACAGAGAAGAAAAGATTATGGCTGCTTGTCTTGATTATGATTCGTTGTAGGAAGTTGAATATGGATCAGTTTTGTTTCAACGTCTGTTATATTAAGAATTTCCATTAATTTTTTGATCGAAGAAGAAGTTCTTTGGCTAAGAACATAATAATATCTTTCCTCCATTATTTGAACATTTTGGAAACCTCGGAGAACAAATAAGCCGCATTTATTTTGAATGTTATTGCTATACAAATTTTAAGTGCCTACTTTGTACACTCATGTGGTATAGGTTTTACACCATTTCAGGGTTTTGAGGTAGTGGTAGAAAGAGCGTGATAACTCTCCGAGGAATTCTCATGTCATTTAGGCTCATTTTGTACGTTTTCTTATATTTAGCGGAATGGTGAGGAATTTGTTGAGATATCCATAAAAAGTAAACATGTCGGATCTTGGAATATTTGTGATTGGTAAGAGCGGCTTTCTCTGGGGATGCTGGATTAATTTTTTCAATGGTAATTGAACCAGTTGTATCAGACATTGACTAATATTGGTGAATAATGTTTCAATTTGGTTTTTCTCACCGTAACGATTCCTTTGTAAACACTTTAAACATGCGATCAAAAACAGGTAATAGTGGCTCAGCACCATCCAAAGTGATTGTTAAGCTTGTAATGGAATAGGAGGGCTTTTTCATTGTGAAACATTTCATTGTGACGTTTTTAAAGTCGTGACACGACTCTTCCGCGAATCGACTTTTCAGCGAAACGACTGTTCCACGAACTGAATTCGCGGAAAAAGTTGGCAGAACAGTCGTGCGCAGAAGAGTCGATGTATCTTTTAAAGTACTACGCACGTTGAAAGTGCTGAAGTTGAATGAAATAATTAGTGGCATGGGCAAAAGGGTTCTGAGCAGGTATGTGATGACAAATCCTTTATATGTAAATAAGTCAGACTATCGGAGTCAACCTATAAGAACCTGTTAACGATTTCTGCATCATTTAGATAATAAATAATTTGTAAACGTTGGGGTTTTCAAAACATTCTGATCAGGCACTCTAAACAATCATTACAGACCCATAAGGAGCAGAAAAATGCACAACTACAGAATAGAGCAAAGATATTAGAGATAAAAGAATTTCTATTCCAGGAATTTAGAAGACTTTTATACCGAATAAACTTTTGATATCACGTTGTTGAATGGAAATACCGCTACGTTACTATATTCAACAAGAAAGTGTTACATTAATCTATTTCAGTTGATTTTTTACAGTAAAAAGAAACACACCAGGCATCTTATAATATGCCTGAATGTCTGAAATTTATTTAGATGCTGAGGTGCCTTATTTTTTACGTTTCGTGTCAAAAATTAGAGCGCTATAGACAAAGAATTTTGGAATGAAAGGAGAGAGAAACATCACATAATTTCACTGATTTTAGTCTCATTGCTTGTTTATACAAGTAGCGATCTTTAAATCTATTTAGACACATGACAGAATGTGAAAGGAAACGTTTTATTATGAGCTGAAGGTGTGTATGCCATCCTCTCTCATGAAATTGTTATTGTTTTTTAATCTTTTTAGAAAAAAAAGTATGCTATACTATTGAGAAAGACAATTTTCTCCTAATGAAGATGCGATCGAAAAAACTTGATATTTTTATTATAATTGTGAAATAGTCAACAGATATTCTGATACGGCGACATTACCACGAACAACGTTACCGCGAAGACTTGTTGATTGGAAAAGCCGACTAAATGAGGTCGGTTTTGTATTTTGTATATCATGTTAACTGAAGTTATGTAGTGACTAGTCATTATCTGATACAACCACCGATATCTAGTTTCGCATCACGATAATATGTTTTGTGTGAAAATAGTTTTCGAATTCACTCTCACAATGCCCTCCTCCTTCCAAAAGCGCCAATGAGAAAAATAAAATTTAGGCAAAAACCACGTTGATTATGCCGACGCCAAAAAAGAAGTGAAGATGTAATTATAAGGAACTCGCTGTCGGATTCACCGACAAATTTTGCATTTGGCGCCCAATTTTTATCCAATTTGGTTCAGCGCGGAGCAAGCACCAAATTTTCTAATGCTATGTGTGTTTTAAATCAGAGCTCTGAAAATAACCCTAATTCGGCGGAGCATTTGCCACATATCTCTGCAAAGAAAACGAAATTCGATGATTCGTCTATGAGGGGATACAATTTTGCTCCGCTAAAACCATGTTCTGAGAAAAACGTTAAACAAGATTGAAGAGCATAGTGACATCAGATCTAAGGTTTAATATAGGAGTGTGATAGACCAGAGATCGGCACGGGCCGGGCCATAAAATTTTATAGAGTTGTCGGGCCGGGCTTGGGCTGCAAAGTATTTTGGTCGGTCGGGCCGGGCGGAACTTAGAATTTTTAAGCATGGGTGGATTTATAATTTATGTGTATACTCAGTACGGAGACATCATAAAAATATAAATATTAGCTTGAGAAATACATTTACACTGCTTAGGCAGCAAAAACATTACAGATGCAAGAAGGAAATCAAGCAAAGTGGTCGGGTTGGGCCGGACCAGAAATGTTTGAGGATTGGTCAGGCCGGACTAGATAAATTCTACGTTTAGTCGGACCGAGCTGGGCTTGATCCGAAGACTTTCTTCATCGAGCCGGGCCGGGCCAAAAATTTTCGGCCCATGCCGATCTCTGTGATACAT